TTTCGATATCTGTTTTGTTTGCCGGTGCTGGTTTTTTTCGATTTTGTTTTCGGTTTCAGTATCGATTTTGGTTTTTAACGGTTTTATTCAAAATCTGTTTCAAGCCCTTATATTAGGTACATGATACATTATTATAGTTTTGTTAAGGACCATTATACAATATACATAAACATTACAATTTACAAATTATACAAAATTTGACTAATTTTAATGAAACTTATTAATCTAACAAATTAATTATATTCAAGTTTCCCCATTTAGGTTATTTAATTTATCATCTCGGTACAGGTTCTACAATTTTGTAAAAAATGCCTTCTGAACGAAATTGAATAATAATAATAATAATAATATAATAACTAATATTGTTGTTTGAACTCTGCAGTGTCTCGACAATTTCAACATTACACTTAACTACAGCGAGTATTATTTTATTTTTATTATGTCAAGTGCACTCGCTTATACTTACCTTTGACCTTTCAGCAGTACCCTATTTACTGCAGAGTAAACTCAAGCGAGTGCAAGGTGTATGCACGCCGGCCGTGGATTTGTATCACGTACCTACAGGCACTTTGGGCATTTTGGACAAAACTTTCATAATTATAACATATAACATTAAGTCATTATTGACTTCCAACTGTTAATATTAGCCGAAGAATTTCGAATGTTATAAACGAAATATACACAGAATTCATAAAATAATTTTTGAGTAAGTACTTAGGTAGATATGCAGTTCGATTCTCGCAACACGGAAGTAAAAATTGTACCACTATTTACCTACCATACAATTAACCGCTGTTTTTGAAAATGGTTTCAAACCTCAGGGTAAATCAAAGATCAAACAATAGCCGAATTTCAATGGAATCGGTATAATAATAGTATATAATATTATACCTACCGAATTGTATTTACGAATTTCTGAACCTTTACTTTGAGATTATAATATAGTTTAATTAATTTGAACACAATATCTGTGCTTGATTGCTTTCGTCTAATATTGCGTATTTTGTGTTTGCATACAATAACAATGCAAACTATTTGTTTATTGGAAACCCACAAGTCGGATTCCTACAAATAACGTCAAGGACAGTATTTTGACATCAAACGAACATCTAAATCATTAATATAAAGGCGCACAAAACGAAAACGTGTAAGTGTAAAATATACCTATATATATATTATATATATGTGTACATGTTCTTTGATTTCCTTCCGGATAAATTCAAAGTGTAAACGTACAAAATTGAAAACACAATATTATGATAGAATAAATTTAATGGCCGTAACAGTGGCGTATCCCTCCCGGCCCTGACATTTCATATTATATTATATATATATCAAATAAATTAATATTTCCTCTATTGACTCCAAATCTGCTGTACCGCTTTCAATAATATTTATATCGAAGACTCAAAGTGTGTTTATACTTTATAGTTTATTTGTTCAACCTCATAATATAGCTTGCTACGGGTTGACTCACACATGAATATATTTTTTGTTTATTTAAATGTTTACCATTGGTTACCGACTATAATGTATTCCTATAATAATGAATTTGTTAAGATTTTGAATAGGTTTATGCAAAAATATTTACAATTAATATATAAAAACAAATCTTTAAATCAAATACCTTTTTATGAATACAATATTACATTAGTTACTTTTATGATTTGCTTTCTTAATTCTTGACATATTGGGATACAAACATTGATTAAACATTTGATAAACTATTATTATAAAGAATAATACATACCAACCTTTTCGATATTAATTGATTTACGTCGGCTTTTAAGGGTTCGTTGAATCGGTTTCCAGTTTTTTGTGTTTACATAAAAATTATGTAGGTACAACATTTTTTTAAAAAGTGAAAGATCATAAAATGAATAATGATAATGATAATAATAATAATATAATAATAATAATTATTATAATATTGTGTTTGTGTTATATAATATAATATGTTATAATCAATTAAAACAAATCGAAAATCGATAGAAAGATATTAGGTATAATATAAAAAATGCATATCCATGGAAATTCGATACTCACTCTCCGGCTCAAGTATTGGACGCGACTATTCGGAATGAAGCGGAGCCAAGGAAGAAAACCCAGGGGCACAAGTATGTATAAAGGGGCATTGTCTTCTTCGTACCTACCTATATTATAATATAATATAATGGTCACTTATATTTTCTAATGTTTTTATTGCTTAAAATTCCACATTGTAAGACAAACTAAATGAAAAGAAAACTATACTGCTATATTTTGTATTCCGAAATTCGTGTGAAAATAGTAGGTAGTTATACGAAGCAAAAAAAATTTAACTTGCTTACTGGCAAGGTATCGACGGTCTTGCACTGTATTATTTACTTTGGAAATTGTATTGACACACATAGCAAGCCATGGTTTTACCTACCGGGAAATAGGGGTTTGTATGGTTCCTGCATTTTGGAATGAAAAAGTGGTCAAGTTTATATATAGATACACAATATTCTGGAAATTTGGGCTTTGGGGTGCATTATGGGTGTTTATGAAAAACTAAGGTCATTCGAGCTTTTTTTTAAATTTAGCATCGATCATAACTATGTTGTCTATGAATAATACAATATTAAACTGTGAGTGATTATCGAAGGTTGGTTCCTATCCATGTTGTTATCAGACCGTAAACGATTCTAGGTTAGATGGCCATGGTAAAAATGTCTAAGTACAAAAATTTTCCGATTTAAAAATGATTGCATTAAATGTATCGAAATGGCCTGAAGAAAATATGGCTAAATAGACAATAGTAATTAATGAGTAAATGTTATTACATTTATATGTTTTAAAATGATATGCAATTTTTAACTCAGATTCTAAGACACCATGATTAATAATATACCTATATACATTAGTTATTAGTACCTATATATGCATAAATCTATTTTACATAAACAGTTAAGTAACTAATGGTAATATAAAATAAACTCAAACCAAACGCACAATGTTCATAAAAAATAATATTAAACCATTTTAATAGTCCATCTAAATTTTTAAAACTGCCTCACAATAATTATTATTTATTAAATAAATTGGGTTTTGTAAAACGCCAACGAATTAAAACTTAAAAGTTATTTATGTTGAGTTGTTCATATTAAGTTATGTGTAACTATACTACCATCAAGATTCAAGACATTATTGGATTTTTATTTGCATTCGACAATACCACTTCAGCTAAACTTAATACAACATTATAGAACTTGAGAACTACAACAGTGGGATTAATTTGACTTCACAGAGTAATAATAATATTTTTTTTTATTACGTTTCCTGATATGACGGTTTTCCAGATCGTATTTCGTTTATTAAAAATTCTAAGTAAAGAAGAATCTAAAATTCAAATTCTAACTATAGTAATTTTATTGAATCTCAATGCAGTGGTAGAACTAGGGGGAAGCCGGGGATTGATCCCCGGGAGTAAAATTTTAGTGGGCGTAATTTTTCTTTGGGTCTTTATATAATGCTTGGTGTTAGAAAACATTTTTATTTCACATAATTTGTTTATGATGTTGTGGTGATGGCCACTTTCGAAGGAATGAAAAACAAAAAATAAAGTTAATGGTAAGATTATGAATAGATTTCGTGTTAGTATACTGGGATACTGGCATTAGCAAACCTACTGCAGGTATATTCAACTAATATACTATAATAAATTATTAAGTTTCTGAGAGAAATTGTGCAACTATAGTAACTATCTAGGCATTTATTGATGCTGTGTTTTCGTTAAAATTTTTAATACCTACACAATAACTGTTATAAGATTATCAATCAACATACGCTATCTTATATCTGTATATTAAAAATTATGTTAATAGATTATTATATAATATATTATAACATTTACCAAGATGGTTATACATTTATTTAAGTTTAAAAAAAAGATTTCATTTTTCATTTTTTCTCTTATAAATTGTTTGATTAAATATAATTTTTTACTATCATAAATTCATAAATTATGTACCTTAATCAGAATAAAAGATTTTATATTTCACCATAAATATCTATTATAATTGAGGGCTGAGGTGCATAGAACCAAAACAGCAAAAGTGTTTTTAATTTTTATACAGGAAAGGCAATTAGAGTTTTGATTATTTTTCAACATTTTTTTTTTCTTATAAAATCCACTCTAAGGAAAATAATAAACTAAATTTTAGGGTTCACTTGGCGGCCTGTAAAATATTACAACTCTAAAAAAAATTGTGTTTGGATGTAACGTGCTGCAGTAAGTGGAACTCAGCCACCCTGGTAGGCAATGCGTGAATATTCGATTTGATGCATGCTTGTTCCTGATCTGTTCGATTACCCAATGGCAACCAATAATATACTAATACCAATAAATACTATTTTTACTAATTATTTCTCCTATAACCAATAGCAACCATTTATAAAAATATAAACAAACATTTCCATCGTAAATCTCAAAATCCCTGTTTTAGCACCTCCCCTGGCTTCTATTGGTCGTAGCCTGATGTTATATATCATATATATATATAATATAACATCAAATCGATAAATGGACTATCCGACATAAAAATAATTTTTAAATTTGAACCAGTAGTTCCTGAGATTAGCGCTTTCAACCAAAGAAATTCGTCAGCTTTATAATATTATAGTATAGCTATAGCTGATAATATAGATTATATCATAATAATAAACTGCAGGTTAAACCAATTTGACTTTAAAAAGTTGAACATTTTGTTCAGTGGCGGCCCTCCTAAAAATATATATTTGCTCACTAAGGAAAAAATGCTGTCCAACCAAAGAAATAAACACACGAGTATTATTGGTATTTTTATATAGATAATATCCAAAAAAGAAATTAAATAGGTAATCAAAATATTATTTTATTATAGTTTATAATTATTAATTATATATAATATATCAATTAGTACATTATACGCGTTATTGTCACCTAGGTGTATACTATACCAGTGCAGTGCAATACGTATATACGACTAGCCGTAATTCTAATATACGTTTTTTATATTAAATTTATGATCGTTCGAACACGATTCACTGACCAATTTTTCGACCATCTGGTGTATGTGTTTATCGACGACACAAAAGTTTGCGAAAATCGTCAACCGATCCAAAGCGTAGGGATTCTGTAATCAATAATCATACAAACGTGGAGTTATTATAATAATAGGTATACCTGTAATTAGTGCACATCTGAACTTTAAATACCTAAGTAGGTATATAAATGAGAGAATTGAGAGAATTAATTACTTGTTTAAAAACTAAAAAATATTTTGCCTCGGAGTTCGGAATAGGAAATTAAAATGTATGTTGTCGATCAAAAAAGTAAACAACTCATAAATACCTAAATAAAATAAAGAATAAGAAAATAATATTTTTTTTTAAATGTTATTATGTGATAACTTCACATTATGTGAAAAATGTATTTTCAAAAAACGTTAATACTTTTTTGAAATAACGAGGGGGTTGGTCGATAAAACAACTCTATCATATATATATCGAAATCCTCAAAAACTGTTTTGCTTCAAAGTATGAAATATAAAATGTAGCTAAGTAATATTATTATCATTCAAAAAAGTAAAAATATAGTTGTACCACACTTAGGCCTTGATCAACGATCGACGGAGTAATACAACAACGTGTGATAAAAATTAATATCGGACAACTGGGAATCAAGTAGGTCCATGTCCCCGGCACCCCCCATTGCGATTTTTGGGTCCAAACCCGGGGCGATCGTTTGTGCTTCGTTAGTGCACGTTAGTGCTTTTTATCCCGTCGTTAGTGCTTTATCCATTCCAAAGTTATTCGCATTTCGTACAGGGGGGTGCCGGGGACATGCCTGCACCCCCCATTTCGAATTTCGGGCCCAAACCCAGGGCGATCGTTTGTGCTTCGTTAGTGCACGTTAGTGCTTTTTATCCCGTCGTTAGTGCTTTATCCGATCCAAAGTTATTCGCATTTCGTACGGGGGGGTGCTGGAGACATGCCTGCACCCCCCATTTCGAATTTCGGGCCCAAACAAATTTCATTCGTTTGTGCTTCGTTAGTGCACGTTAGTGCTTCTCATCCCGTCGTTAGTGCTTTATCCGTTCCAAAGTTATTCGCATTTCGTACAGGGGGGTGCTGGGGACATGCCTGCACCCCCCATTTCGAATTTCGGGCCCAAACAAATTTCATTCGTTTGTGCTTCGTTAGTGCACGTTAGTGCTTCTTATCCCGTCGTTAGTGTTCCATCCCTTAAATTGTATTTGAATTTCCTACAGGGGGTTCTAAGGACATGCTAATTTAGATTTCGAATTTTGGGTCCAAAAATCTTTTATTCGTTTATGCTTCGTTAGTCCTTCAGTGTTTTATTCATCCGGTCGTTAGTGCTCTACTCCTTCAAAAGTTATTGGCATTTCGTACGGGGGGGGGGGGGGGGACTAGTGACGTACTAATTCGAGTCCCAGTCCCCAAAGTTTTGTCTGAAACTCTTCAACACATTGAAAAAAATGTTTGAAAAAAATATGGTTTTAAAATAAAATCGTTTGCGTTATTTGTGAATATTTAAAAGTTAATTGTTAGGTATTGAACCAATAATCAATATAGATTTACGATTCTACGACCTTATACTATAAATGTTATTCTGATACAGAACCAAGATAGGTAACTTTTATCCATTCTATGAGTTCTAGAACGCCAACCCCTGGATTATTCTAACATTAGGTGAAATAATATTAATGATACCATTGAGTATAATATATATTGTTGTACAATATAGGTACGTATACTCAATGATGATAGGTATAATGGTATAAATATTTTTTTAAGTCCGGGAACAAATTTAATATTTTTTACGTAACTACCTATTTAGTGTATGATAATATATTATATATCTACCCAAAATATTTATGTTTGCCTATAACAACTATCTATACCTACATCATTGCAGTTAATGATTACCTATAAATAAGATAGGAAGGTATAGATATATAAAGTATAAAACCTGTATAAAAATCGATTTAAGAAATAATAATCGTGATTTAAAATAGCTAAAAAAACATTTGTATGTTCACAGTCTATTTTTTTTCACCACGGTAATTTCACAACGTTCAATGCAGGCAAAACCGATTTTGAGTGTGCAAACTCCCTGTAACTTTAAAATACGGTAAATATTTTTCTGAAACGAAGAATTCGTGGACAAAAATTGTGAAATCTCCCTGTAAAATGCTATACGGTAAATATTTTTATCTGAGGCGCGAATAGGTGGACAACGAGTGTAAAATCTCCCCGCGCGTAAAATGCTATACGGTAAATATTTTTATGTGAGGCGCGAATAGGTGGACAACAATTGTGAAATCTCCCCGTAAAATGCTATACGGTAAATATTTTTATGTGAGGCGCGAATAGGTGGACAACGAGTGTGAAATCTCCCCGTGATTTTCACCGCGGTAAAATAATTGTGTTCAACCGGGACATCCTGCATTGAACGTTGTGAAATTACCGTAGTGAAAAAAAAATAGACTGTGAACATCCAAATGTTTTTTTTAGCTATTTTAAATCACGATTATTATTTCTTAAATCGATTTTTATACAGGTTTTATACTTTATACATCTATACCTTCCTATCTAATTTATAATCATTAACTGCAATGATGTAGGTATAGGTAGTTGTTATATAGGCAAACATAAATATTTTGGGTAGATATATATATTGTCGTATACGCCACGCAAAGGCTTGACGTATATAACAGATATGTTTCGGTTTCCGATTCTCTAACCGTCGAACGAGTAAATTATCGACACCTGCTGTATGAGTTTAATTTAATTTCTCCTTTTGGTGACCACGATAACGAGTACTGCGCAAAAGGATAATTAAATAAAAGTCCAGCAGGATTTACACTATACAACTCTAAGGTTATTTTACTCCCGAACAACTGACCACGATAACGAGTACTGGATGTTCGAGGGTGAGGTATCTTTTACCTAGACAAAGTCTTACTCTTTCTCGACTGACCACGATAACGAGTACTGGACGAGAAAGTAAGTACCACAGTGTCTTACTACCTGTTTTTAAAAGTATTATTCACCACAACGTCTCTGTATCAACTCGTAAGATAAAATATTCTAAAAAAAGGCGTAAAGAAAAACAGTGACACTTGGTTTTTAAAAAAAAGAATTAAATATAATAAAATATATCAAAAACAAATAATAAAAAGAAACGTAAAAATACTGCAGCTCGTTGGCTACTACAATAATCGAAACAAACAAAACAACAGCCCCGCTCCCGTCGCAGACGTCGCCTAGTCGTGGCAATTTTGCTGACTCGGTTTGATTGACTTTTTGCTTCGTATGTTATTTTAATATTTTATAATTTCATTATATATACAACAATATTATCATACACTAAATAGGTAGGTATGTACGTAAAAAATATTAAATTTTCTCCCGGACTTAAAAAAAAATATATTTATACCATTAATACCTATCATCATTGTCAATGCCGGCGCTGGGTATTGCAGGGCCCTGGACATAGGTAATAGAGGGCAAAATTCTAGCTTTTTTTAAATTAATGCTATTTTTATTTGAATTTTAAACATTAAAAATAATAATATCAGATTATTCATATCCTTTTTTTTTTTTATTAAAATGTATTAACAAAAAATTATTTACAAATAATAAAATAATATATATGTGTTGAAAATTATAATTTAATAAATTCGTGGGGGACTTATTATTTTATTAATTTATATTTATTTTAATAATCACAAAACATCAATTAAAAATAAATAAAATCATCAAAATGTTTGAATGATATAATAAATTGTTTAATATCTAAGTACGCGGTGGTAGACAATAAAATATGTTAAAACTAATCCTGATACACTAGATACGCAAGCAGTAGGTAAATATTATTATTTAATACTGCTATACTGTACCTAAACTGAATTGTAATAATAATTTCATAAAATGAAAACTTACTTTTATGATATTATGTAGAAATTGTTGAAAAAATACTCTAAGGGGCAAAGCGGACTGCAGTCAAATACTCAAATGTCGAACATATTATACTAGATAATCAAATAAATATTTTAAGAATATAGCTCTTGCCGCTTCTATAATACGGTCATACGACAATACGCGGAAAGCTTTTCCAAACAAAGAACAGAAAAACAATAACTATAAAGATAATAAATATTCATAATTATAATTATGGTTAGGTTACTCATTACTCTTACAGTCCTCGAGTATCGTCAAAATATTACTCCTTCGTCGTATCGATAACGATTTACTTTGTACTATGGCTAAATTTAGATATCATTTTCCAAATAATTAATGATAGAAATAATATTAATATTAATATATTATACATGTGCAGTATAGTACAACAAATGTATAGATTTATAATTTATTAATATAAAATGTCAATGTGTTTCACGGTATTAAGATGACATTAAAAATCGCGGGGCTTGTTAGAAACTAGAAAGCGAGGGGCACTGAACATATGTCCTATTTGTCCTCCCATAGAGCCGGCACTTATCATTGAGTATAAGTACCTATATTGTACAACAATATATTATACTCAATGTTATCATTAATATTATTTTTCAAGACAAAACTTTTGGGACTGGACTCGAATTAGTACGTCACTAGTACCCCCCCCCCCCCCCGTACGAAATGCCAATAACTTTTGAAGGAGTAGAGCACTAACGACCGGATGAATAACACACTGAAGGACTAACGAAGCATAAACGAATAAAAGATTTTTGGACCCACAATTTGAAATCTAAATTAGCATGTCCTTAGAACCCCCTGTAGGAAATTCAAATACAATTTAAGGGATGGAGCACTAACGACGGGATAAGAAGCACTAACGTGCACTAACGAAGCACAAACGAATGAAATTGGTTTGGGCCCGAAATTCGAAATGGGGGGTGCAGGCATGTCCCCAGCGCCCCCCTGTACAAAATGCGAATAACTTTGGAACGGATAATGCACTAACGACGGGATAAGAAGCACTAACGTGCACTAACGAGGCACAAACGAATGAAATTTGTTTGGGCCCGAAATTCGAAATGGGGGGTGCAGGCATGTCTCCAGCACCCCCCTGTACGAAATGCGAATAACTTTGGATCGGATAAAGCACTAACGACGGGATAAAAAGCACTTACGTGCACTAACGAAGCACAAACGATCGCCCTGGGTTTGGGCCCGAAATTCGAAATGGGGGGTGCAGGCATGTCCCCGGCACCCCCCTGAACGAAATGCGAATAACTTTGGAATGGATAAAGCACTAACGACGGGATAAAAAGCACTAACGTGCACTAACGAAGCACAAACAATCGCCCCGGGTTTGGACCCAAAAATCGCAATGGGGGGTGCCGGGGACATGGACCTGAATCAAGTTAGGTACGTAATAAGAAAATATATTTTGAACTTTTAGATTTTGAGCGGAGCGAGGCAGCTAGTGGTTTTACAATGGTGTTTATTTTTATTATTTTTATCCTGTATACAAAATTTCTTCCAGAAGGAGTGCTTCGATTTTAACATATTATAGTATCTTATCTTTTAGTAAACTGGATTTAGATGGCACTTTAAAGAGGTTATTTTTTTGTATTTTCAATAGTTAAATTTAATGCCATGGGAAAAACCGCTAAAAATAGGATTCTAATTTCTAACACTTTTTTTATCATCATAGAAACGAATAAAAAACAATAATATTTAAATATAAATTCATCTTACAGGCTATAATAAATAATAACAATATAAATTATCCAGACTGATTAAAAACCGTCTCCGCTCAGAATCGTTTTTCTTATACAATGTTATTATCTCATTGAATTCGGGTTGAATATAATCCATTATACATTGACCCACTTGTAAACTACTGTACAGCAGAGCGACATCTACTTACCCAATTTTGTCGTTATCGAAACTATTAAATAATTTTTAATTATTATATAATATATTATATTACGCGCATTTTGAGGGGTAACTAGTTAGGTTCAAGAGCGGTGCTATACGATAATAATAATAATAATAAAAAAAAAATATCCGTAAATTACCGTAGAATATTAAATTGCCTTGTATCCGGGATGACGGTCGACGGAGATATTATATTATTACTCTGACATTAAAATAACATGTAAACGAGAACACAATTTACACACACGAACCGTATCACGTATGCCCTCGAGGTGTAAAACGTGTCCACAATGCCACAAAATAAATGACAAGTCACAACAAGTAGTAGGAGGTACCGTGTGATTATTTCACCGATCAACACTCGTTGTTTCAAAAACTAATGACGTTTATGGAAATATTTTTTTACATAATTGTAAATCGCTACAAAACAACGTATTTGGAAAAAATTATATTTTTATTGTTTTTTATCATTTTGTTTTTTCTTTAAGTTTTTACTTTTTTTAATGATATCATACCAGTAACTTTAGGTACCTATCAGTTAGTACCGTCTGTAGTGTGTACCGATCGCCTTCTAACAACATAGGTACCTACATTTCGGATAAACGTTTAAGTTCGACAGGTGTTATTAAGTTCTCAGACGCAACATTTGTGTAACAGCTTATAAAAACAAATTCAAAGTTGTCGTTTCATGAAACAAGGTCTAACAACAACTTATTAAATGATGGTAGGAAATTACGTACCCGTGCCAAAGAAAAGCAGCTCTCCGTGATTTTATTTAGAATACTTCTGTAACACGGGAACATATCTAACGAGAGTTCTAGATGATTGGGTTCGTAAAAGTCACCGACTTTACTTATGATTTCCGGTCTAGCCTTCACTATCTTCGAATAAAGTGTCCGAAGTGCTTTGTCGATGATCAACCTCATCTAAAACAATAATACCCAATAATAACCCAACACTGGTCAGCGTAATTCAACAAAACGGTTAATTATTATTTATTATTGTTTGAAATACTTCGTTATTCAAATGTAATTCTGTTGACAAATGGTGCCTTTCCGAGACTGACAACTTATGGCCCGCCAATTCTTGTTGTACCGAATTTTCGTGCACGGTTCTACTGGACACTGTGTTCTAAGTTTCGCCAAGAAATATGTGTAAATGTAATGTTCTCTGTTAATAACCATCGATATATATGTATTATATAATATGATACCTTTGGCTTATTCGTTGCGGTCATTATTGGTTTGGCCGAAGCAGGTTTTTTGCTGTGGTTCTTGTAACCTATGAACGAGGAGAGCTTTTCATGACCCATTCTGAAATCACCGTACACCATGACGTTGCTTTCGGTTACGTTGGTTCTCGCCTCATTGAAGTCAAAGAAAACGGTTCTCTTTTTCTCAGACGATTCGGATACCAACTAAAAGACGATTATAATTTAAATCTATATAGCTAGGTAGATGATTGGAGAGTTAATGCAAAAGTCCTAGCCCCTCTAAAAATTATTGAAAAATAACTTAAATATTTTAGATTTACAAATCTTGTCAATAGAAAATGGTTACATATTTAGATAAAAATAATATGACTGAATATTTAAATATTATGATATAAACAAATATTTTGACTGAAAAATATTTAATATTTTAAATGAGCAGTTTGTGTGAATATAAATCACGGCTAACGACCACTTATCACATACTCTAAAAATAAATTAAAATCCCATCACTAGTTTTTGTGGTCATTGCGATCAGACTACCTATCGGAGTATTTGATCTTCTGGCTATCCAATGTAGAAATTATATGTACTTTAAATGTTATGTTTTATGCATTTTTAATTAAATAATTATTTAGAATTTCCGTGATTTTGAAATCTATTCACTCAAAACAAAATAAAAAACCATCTATGCATTACTATTGTTATGCAGATAAATTAGAAACTACTCTATTATGTTAAGACATACCGCGTCCCAGTTTTCCATCCATGTGACGCTGAACAAATCTCCAAGACATGTGTTGTATGGTCCAGATTGAGATCGACAGTAGCATCCAAACGAATTTTCCCTGGGACCTGATGCAGTTACCGCCAAAACTAGTTTTAAAAATAGATTTATACTTTTAGTTGTAAATACATATGATTACGGAAACGAATTCTTTAAATTCAAAATTGCCAATTTTCATAAATTACAAAATTGGCTTGTATTAAATTTATAATTAAATTTATCGTTTTATTTGAATTCGATAGGTATAGGTATAAATGTTCAATTGAATTGTTAGTAAGTACCTAATCTATTTCTGTACACGTTTTTAAAACTGATATTCAAGCGGTGAAATAATTTTTTTAGCGAGCCAGTATTTATAATAATATATAAGTTATATTATAAAATGTTATCAGAGTTCTGACTATTGACCCAGAGCCAGGGTTGTTATGTTTATAACACAATGTTTTTAACAATTTTGTAAAATCCAAATGAATTTTGTGTTTTTTTTTTTTAAACTTTATTTTTTGTTTTTTTCAAAAATCTAAAAATACACCAACTCTGCCCAGAGCGTCTTCAGAAATTGTTTAAAGGAGGGATTATATTATATTATAGGTACCTACTACATATTACAGGCTATAGCGATATAGCTTTTATTAGGTTATGTACACACCTATGCAAGGGACTATATCACAAAGATATGACACATTGAAATGTTATATCAATGAGGTCCATGTCCCCGGCACCCCCCATTGCGATTTTTGGGTCCAAACCCGGGGCGATTGTTTGTGCTTCGTTAGTGCACGTTAGTGCTTTTTATCCCGTCGTTAGTGCTTTATCCATTCCAAAGTTATTCGCATTTCGTTCAGGGGGGTGCCGGGGACATGCCTGCACCCCCCATTTCGAATTTCGGGCCCAAACCCAGGGCGATCGTTTGTGCTTCGTTAGTGCACGTAAGTGCTTTTTATCCCGTCGTTAGTGCTTTATCCGATCCAAAGTTATTCGCATTTCGTACAGGGGGGTGCTGGAGACATGCCTGCACCCCCCATTTCGAATTTCGGGCCCAAACAAATTTCATTCGTTTGTGCCTCGTTAGTGCACGTTAGTGCTTCTTATCCCGTCGTTAGTGCATTATCCGTTCCAAAGTTATTCGCATTTTGTACAGGGGGGCGCTGGGGACATGCCTGCACCCCCCATTTCGAATTTCGGGCCCAAACCAATTTCATTCGTTTGTGCTTCGTTAGTGCACGTTAGTGCTTCTTATCCCGTCGTTAGTGCTCCATCCCTTAAATTGTATTTGAATTTCCTACAGGGGGTTCTAAGGACATGCTAATTTAGATTTCAAATTGTGGGTCCAAAAATCTTTTATTCGTTTATGCTTCGTTAGTCCTTCAGTGTGTTATTCATCCGGTCGTTAGTGCTCTACTCCTTCAAAAGTTATTGGCATTTCGTACGGGGGGGGGGGGGGGGACTAGTGACGTACTAATTCGAGTCCAGTCCCAAAAGTTTTGTCTTGAAAAATAATATTAATGATAACATTGAGTATAATATATTGTTGTACAATATAGGTACTTATACTCAATGATAAGTGCCGGCTCTATGGGAGGACAAATAGGACATATGTTCAGTGCCCCTCGCTTTCTAGTTTCTAACAAGCCCCGCGATTTTTAATGTCATCTTAATACCGTGAAACACATTGACATTTTATATTAATAAATTATAAATCTATACATTTGTTGTACTATACTGCACATGTATAATATATTAATATTAATATTATTTCTATCATTAATTATTTGGAAAATGATATCTAAATTTAGCCATAGTACAAAGTAAATCGTTATCGATACGACGAAGGAGTAATATTTTGACGATACTCGAGGACTGTAAGAGTAATGAGTAACCTAACCATAATTATAATTATGAATATTTATTATCTTTATAGTTATTGTTTTTCTGTTCTTTGTTTGGAAAAGCTTTCCGCGTATTGTCGTATGACCGTATTATAGAAGCGGCAAGAGCTATATTCTTAAAATATTTATTTGATTATCTAGTATAATATGTTCGACATTTGAGTATTTGACTGCAGTCCGCTTTGCCCCTTAGAGTATTTTTTCAACAATTTCTACATAATATCATAAAAGTAAGTTTTCATTTTATGAAATTATTATTACAATTCAGTTTAGGTACAGTATAGCAGTATTAAATAATAATATTTACCTACTGCTTGCGTATCTAGTGTATCAGGATTAGTTTTAACATATTTTATTGTCTACCACCGCGTACTTAGATATTAAACAATTTATTATATCATTCAAACATTTTGATGATTTTATTTATTTTTAATTGATGTTTTGTGATTATTAAAATAAATATAAATTAATAAAATAATAAGTCCCCCACGAATTTATTAAATTATAATTTTCAACACATATATATTATTTTATTATTTGTAAATAATTTTTTGTTAATACATTTTAATAAAAAAAAAAAAAGGATATGAATAATCTGATATTATTATTTTTAATGTTTAAAATTCAAATAAAAATAGCATTAATTTAAAAAAAGCTAGAATTTTGCCCTCTATTACCTATGTCCAGGGCCCTGCAATACCCAGCGCCGGCATTGACAATGATGATAGGTATTAATGGTATAAATATATTTTTTTTTAAGTCCGGGAGAAAATTTAATATTTTTTACGTACATACCTACCTATTTAGTGTATGATAATATTGTTGTATATATAATGAAATTATAAAATATTAAAATAACATACGAAGCAAAAAGTCAATCAAACCGAGTCAGCAAAATTGCCACGACTAGGCGACGTCTGCGACGGGAGCGGGGCTGTTGTTTTGTTTGTTTCGATTATTGTAGTAGCCAACGAGCTGCAGTATTTTTACGTTTCTTTTTATTATTTGTTTTTGATATATTTTATTATATTTAATTCTTTTTTTTAAAAACCAAGTGTCACTGTTTTTCTTTACGCCTTTTTTTAGAATATTTTATCTTACGAGTTGATACAGAGACGTTGTGGTGAATAATACTTTTAAAAACAGGTAGTAAGACACTGTGGTACTTACTTTCTCGTCCAGTACTCGTTATCGTGGTCAGTCGAGAAAGAGTAAGACTTTGTCTAGGTAAAAGATACCTCACCCTCGAACATCCAGTACTCGTTATCGTGGTCAGTTGTTCGGGAGTAAAATAACCTTAGAGTTGTATAGTGTAAATCCTGCTGGACTTTTATTTAATTATCCTTTTGCGCAGTACTCGTTATCGTGGTCACCAAAAGGAGAAATTAAATTAAACTCATACAGCAGGTGTCGATAATTTACTCGTTCGACGGTTAGAGAATCGGAAACCGAAACATATCTGTTATATACGTCAAGCCTTTGCGTGGCGTATACGACAATATATATATCTACCCAAAATATTTATGTTTGCCTATATAACAACTACCTATACCTACATCATTGCAGTTAATGATTATAAATTAGATAGGAAGGTATAGATGTATAAAGTATAAAACCTGTATAAAAATCGATTTAAGAAATAATAATCGTGATTTAAAATAGCTAAAAAAAACATTTGGATGTTCACAGTCTATTTTTTTTTCACTACGGTAATTTCACAACGTTCAATGCAGGATGTCCCGGTTGAACACAATTATTTTACCGCGGTGAAAATCACGGGGAGATTTCACACTCGTTGTCCACCTATTCGCGCCTCACATAAAAATATTTACCGTATAGCATTTTACGGGGAGATTTCACAATTGTTGTCCACCTATTCGCGCCTCACATAAAAATATTTACCGTATAGCATTTTACGCGCGGGGAGATTTTACACTCGTTGTCCACCTATTCGCGCCTCAGATAAAAATATTTACCGTATAGCATTTTACAGGGAGATTTCACAATTTTTGTCCACGAATTCTTCGTTTCAGAAAAATATTTACCGTATTTTAAAGTTACAGGGAGTTTGCACACTCAAAATCGGTTTTGCCTGCATTGAACGTTGTGAAATTACCGTGGTGAAAAAAAATAGACTGTGAACATACAAATGTTTTTTTAGCTATTTTAAATCACGATTATTATTTCTTAAATCGATTTTTATACAGGTTTTATACTTTATATATCTATACCTTCCTATCTTATTTATAGGTAATCATTAACTGCAATGATGTAGGTATAGATAGTTGTTATAGGCAAACATAAATATTTTGGGTAGATATATAATATATTATCATACACTAAATAGGTAGTTACGTAAAAAATATTAAATTTGTTCCCGGACTTAAAAAAATATTTATACCATTATACCTATCATCATTGAGTATACGTACCTATATTGTACAACAATATATATTATACTCAATGGTATCATTAATATTATTTCACCTAATGTTAGAATAATCCAGGGGTTGGCGTTCTAGAACTCATAGAATGGATAAAAGTTACCTATCTTGGTTCTGTATCAGAATAACATTTATAGTATAAGGTCGTAGAATCGTAAATCTATATTGATTATTGGTTCAATACCTAACAATTAACTTTTAAATATTCACAAATAACGCAAACGATTTTATTTTAAAACCATATTTTTTTCAAACATTTTTTTCAATGTGTTGAAGAGTTTCAGACAAAACTTTGGGGACTGGGACTCGAATTAGTACGTCACTAGTACCCCCCCCCCCCCCCCCCGTACGAAATGCCAATAACTTTTGAAGGAGTAGAGCACTAACGACCGGATGAATAAAACACTGAAGGACTAACGAAGCATAAACGAATAAAAGATTTTTGGACCCAAAATTCGAAATCTAAATTAGCATGTCCTTAGAACCCCCTGTAGGAAATTCAAATACAATTTAAGGGATGGAACACTAACGACGGGATAAGAAGCACTAACGTGCACTAACGAAGCACAAACGAATGAAATTTGTTTGGGCCCGAAATTCGAAATGGGGGGTGCAGGCATGTCCCCAGCACCCCCCTGTACGAAATGCGAATAACTTTGGAACGGATAAAGCACTAACGACGGGATGAGAAGCACTAACGTGCACTAACGAAGCACAAACGAATGAAATTTGTTTGGGCCCGAAATTCGAAATGGGGGGTGCAGGCATGTCTCCAGCACCCCCCCGTACGAAATGCGAATAACTTTGGATCGGATAAAGCACTAACGACGGGATAAAAAGCACTAACGTGCACTAACGAAGCACAAACGATCGCCCTGGGTTTGGGCCCGAAATTCGAAATGGGGGGTGCAGGCATGTCCCCGGCACCCCCCTGTACGAAATGCGAATAACTTTGGAATGGATAAAGCACTAACGACGGGATAAAAAGCACTAACGTGCACTAACGAAGCACAAACGATCGCCCCGGGTTTGGACCCAAAAATCGCAATGGGGGGTGCCGGGGACATGGACCTATATCAATGTAGTAGGTATTTTAAGAATTTAGATCTTTCTGATACGTATATAGGCCAGTGGCGGATTTGAGAGGGGGGCAACGTGGCGATTACCCCCCCCCCCCCTAGAGCTTTTATATCTATAATATATAGCTTTTATTTTTATAATTATGTACCCTAATGTAATGTAATTTTCTGTTTTGTATTTAGTAGTTACCTATTATATGCTTACATAATTAATAGATATTATCATTTATCTTTAGAAAACAGAATTTTTACCCCCAAGACTTTTATTCCCCCGAGACTTTTTTTCCGGATACTTTTTCCCCGAGACTTTTTTTCCTACCATCAAATCTGTTATCACTACATTTTTATAAAATAAATTAAATATTTTGTTCACTGTGACTGTGGTAAATAACTCAATTTTAATATTGAGTGATGAATACTATATATTTTCATTGTTCATTGACAGATTTGCGGCTTTTAAAAAAATAACCAAACAATTATTGTTGCTCAAATAAATTATTAATACATTTGTTTATTTAATATTTAATAAAAGACGGTTGAATTTTTAAACAGTTTAATTTTTTTTTTATATAAACAGATGTTTATTGACTAATATGTATATAATATTGAAATTCTATGATACCAATTCGCCCCCTCCTTAAATGAGCTTCACATCCCCTACTGATATAGGGTGGGCCAACAAGCACGATGCTTACCCCCATTAATTTCTTTAATTTATTCAAATTATTATGATTTTTATAAATTTTATGTAGGTACCAGAGGTACCTATACAAGACCATACTTTCAGTTATTTAGATGTTTTATACTATATTAACCGAAGTTTATTTTTCAAATGATAACTTATTATTTTTACTGTGAAATTTATCCTATATCTTAAAACACAATATCATAGACCTATTAACTTTAGTACACAAAGTTAAATAATTTACATTTTCAAACTTTTTTAAATTTTGATTTAGACACATTACAATTTTAAAAAATTAATTTGATTAACAATCCACAAGAAAAAAATTATGATTCACATTTGAAAAAAGTTAGTATCACCACAGGACACAGGAATAATTGGAAATATAGTCCTTAAGTATAACTAATAACTAGTTCCAAAAATCAGAATAGGATTTAATTAATATTAGGTATAACGTCATTTATATGTAAAAAAGGATGGTGAGCATGCTGGATGAATCAACCGGTTTGCAATATTATAGTAATTACTATTTAGTATATTATCTTTTACATATCCAGTGGGCAGTTATATTATATTACACTTTATAGTTTATACCTACTATATTTAGATTTTATTTGGATAAAAAAAAAAATAATAAAGCCATAGAAAATAACTAAAATAATTGTTTAACTCATTTGGATCGTTTATGAGCAAAAAAAAATAATATTTCCAAAATCCTGAATCTCTGTACTTACCACCTGTGTTGTCAAGGAGTATCCCATCAAACATAGAACCTGCCTTACACGCTTCAATGTACATCAACACCTATATCACCGGATATTTAAAAGCATCAAGTACAATATAAAATTATAACAAATATTTTGATTTAAGGAAAAAAAAGTACCATTTTATAACGTGCAGATGCGTGCATAGTTTTGAGCGCGTCGTTCAGTTCATCAGCGTATAATAAATCGTCTGGGAAACCTAATATTCCTGTAGTACCGTGATCGACAAAATTAATGAATACTTTATCGTGCGGTCCTCTTTATTAAACAAACAATTTCATAAAAAATATTTATAAATATGTGTACCTATACCAGATACCTAGTCCCTACGCCAACAACTAAAGGGGGGGAGGGGGAGATTCACAATATACCGTGACTTGTTCTTATATGATCATGTATGTTCGTGCAATGCGCAATACACATTATATTATGATAATACCAAAATGCAATACCAATTATGATAACCAAATTCTTATAAATTATATGAATATTGTACTTGAAATTTTAGTTATCATCTTTTGAAAACTCTAGGGAATATTCGATTTTGACCTACTAGACTCACTTTCCTACCAGAAAAGATACTTAAGTTGAAAATCGAAGCATTCTTTATTTCTTTTAACTATGTACATATCACTAAACATAACACATAAACATCTTTATAAAATCAATACATTCATCGCTCCGTTAAGAATCTAAAACAGTTTAATACCTAATTATCTGTGCATACTTATAATATAATATATATTTTATATGTTGATTGATACTGCACAAAATTATTGTGAATCAGAAATTTTAAAGAAAACACAGCATCAATACATGCCTGGTTTCGCTTAGAATCTTCAAAATTATAGTGTTTGTGTTAATTTATGCATAATCTTAATGTTTTTGGATGTCTGGATGACCGATTGACCAAATTACGAATTGAGATCATATTTTATTATTATAGGGTACAAATGACAAACTTCATATAGAAAGTAAATCACGAATGGCAAAATAATGTATATTTTATTATTGTAGTAATTTGTAACATTTTCTCAACGTGCTGTAATAATTAATTTAAGAATGACGATTATTATTTTACGGCATTACGCTGTGTATGGTTTTATATTTTTACTTTTCTTCAAATGTAGGGTTGTAGCCATCACCAAATCATAAACAATTTTTGTGTTCCAACTTCTAACACCAAACACTAAACATAGGGCCGTAAAAAAAAATTCCAACCCAGGATCATTTCCAGTCTTTACCCCCCCCCCCCCCCCACCCCTTCTAGATACGCTTCTGACTATAGTTATTTCCTCTGAATCCATATTGAACTAAACATCCTTTTAATTGAAAACGTTTACATATTATACGTACCCTTCAATTACTTTTCCAGTTCCAATGGATTGCATGGCTTTTTTATCGCCAGTGATAATCTTCAAGAAATTTGTGCTATTTACATCCTAATTTGGGATTAAAACAATGAAGATGTATATTAGTTATTGAAACTACATTACATCTATGTATATTACTATGTGCCTATGTATTATATACCTATATAAAATGGCAACTGTCAAGTAAATTAATAAAATTAAACCAATTAAATCCGATTGATTTCTAAAAACGTTTTCTATGTTCAGTGTAACTATTATAAACCTTTTTAAAATACAAAAATATTTTATTTATTTAATTATATATGTTTAGCCGCTGTTGACGCACCGACTGCAGGGACATACTACCAACTCAAGTCTCGGTGACAGCAGATTGATAACCGGAATTCCGGACACATAAATTTATACCCGAAAAGGTAAATACCATTATCGGCTTAATCAATAACGGAAACGCGATAACCATAATCACGATGGCACTTTGTGTAATTGAAAAAACGAAAGTCACAAATCCCACAATCTTGAAGGTTCGTATTATAGTATAAACTTCAGGGGTAATATACGATTCCGAATGGAACGATTGCGAACGGACCTTTTAAGGTGACACTATTGCGAACGTTTTTACCTGCCTTTAATCGTGCGGTGTTGTCAGATTTGGTGTTAGTCAATAACAAATTTTTAAATAATAATTTTAAAAATAGTTAATCAAATAGTAATAATATAAGGGTTTTCTGCTATTACGCCGGGCGATAAGATAGATAGGTACGATGCACCATTATCATGGAAAACCAGCTCGATTCGTATAATCGTGCAGTATTATTTGTGATTCGTTCGTATCGTGTTCGTTTCGTTTAGTTCTCTTAGATATCGTGGTTATTTAGTTTTGTTTTCTTCGATATGGAAATCCAAATAATTATGTCCGAAAAAGGCAAACAGTTAGTTCTCTTGGATAAATTTAAATACTGTTTTGTTAGAAAACGTCAAGATGGGTATATTAAATGGGTCTGTACAGACAAAAATTGCACTGCAAGTATTGTAACAACTGCAGATAAGAAGTCTCTACATCAGTCAACTGGTGAACATAAGCATTTAGTTAATAGTCAACAAAAAATTGAACGACACATCTTGAGAGAGAATTGTAAAAGAAAAGATAATATTTCTACCAGGCCATTAAAAATTATATGAACTGAATATCCTATGGCCAAAAAAGATAAATCTAAAATTGAATTAACATTAAAAAATTATAATAGTTATAAAATACACAAGGATCTAATTTTATATTTAAGAAAAACTGGAAATTCTTACCAGGGAAAAAATTTAAAAAAAGCAAAAATGTAGAAATCAATTTTTAAAAACCATTATTTTGTATGTAGGTACCTATTATTTTATTTATTTTTCAGCTTTTAACGTAACATTAACACTTAGATTTTGTAACAATATTATTAATATTTATAATTAAATTTTATTTTATTTTATTTTAGTTTGTAACGTAATTGTTGTTTTCATTATGTAATTAATATCAATAATTTTTATTTAAAAAAAAATATTTTGTAAACTTGGCAACGTGGTATATAAAAACGTTCGCAATCGTTAGTTTTTCAGCTAAAAAACCAAATTCTCTGATAAGCGTCATTCGTTCGCAATCGTGTTATAAAAAAGGTAAAACTTTCGCAATGGTGTTGTACCCAACTTCAGCTGCAGTCTTGCATTAATGGCCGAATAACGTGAAAAATATCTTACCATCCCCTTGTAGTCGATGACAACTCCTTTGTACACGTCCGTTCCGTTTGGTTGATTAATTATCGTTCCTGGAGTGGGATTCCTGTAGTAAAAGTCCAACGTAACGTAAATAAACAACGAACACAATAATGGCCGTGAAAGACCAGTTGTGAGAGGAGGTGTTAAAATAAATATGAATTTCCCGTTTTTCCCTTCTTCCTTTCTTTACGTTACGGAATTATTTGTACCTACAGAAACGAACTAAATATTTCAATAATCAGCATGCGCTTATGTACGAAGGTACTATCATAAAAATTCCATAAATATTATTCTAAATTAAATTGGCTTGCATCTATATTCTATACATTAAAATCAAATACGGTTATAGAAACTTTTAAACTAAATGTATATCATGGTCGTCTAAAATCTAAACTTGGACCACTTTACCTAAAGGTAGCTATGTCATAAAATCAGTATACTATTTAGTAGTATATGTTGATATAGCAGTAGATGTTATCAACAAGCAATTATTAATAAGCCAAGTCTTATGTGATAAAAAATAAATATAAAAACAATCCATGTTGCTAGTAGGGTTCTGAAATTTCATGAAATTTAAAAAAAAAAAATATTTCATATTATTGAAAGATAAAAAAAAACAAATTGTAATTTAAAATTATGCTAGAAAATATAAATTACAGTAAACACCTCTCCCTAGTTATGTGTTTATGAAAAATATTATAGAAATATTTCTTACATGGTATATTATACACGTTACATAATAATTATCTATTTTATCAAAAATATCTGCTTTAAATCATGATCAGGAATTAAATATTTATAATCCCTAATCAGGTATGAAATCAGTATGACCATCTATAAGTGATGATTTTATGAAACATACCAAAAAACACAAGAAGGGTAAATGTTTCAAGTTTGAAATACTTCAAAGTGAAAATTTCATGTGAAATATTTCATACTTATAAGTTATAACCCTATAGTAATATTGTTAAAGTGTTAATATTATACAAATGTGTACAGAAATATGCTTGGATTCAAATATATAGCTTACTGATCTATATTGGTTAAGCTAATTAAGCTAGTTACAATTATTATAGCAATATGAATACTTATTTTGAATTCAGGCTATTTCGCATCATTGTCTTTTTTATGCCACCGATTTAAAAACAATGGACAAAAAAATAGTTTAATTCTTTGAACCCGTGCTTCTATATTATTATACTAGTCTTGAGATTGAATGACAACTTATTAAATATTATACTAACTCTAATACTCTATAATATTGTAATATTGATAATCTCAACCCTAAGTAGGTATGTCTATACTCTATTGTCGCGAATAAAATATAATTAATAGATTTTTTTTATAAAGAAAGACATTTTAAAATTTGAATACTTGATAATATTATATATATAAGAATAGACCGCACAACTGATTACTCCTTATAAATTAACTATGTTTAAGTCTATGTAGTGTAAAATAATGAAATACATAAATTAGTACTTCTAATATATATTATTACATATTATACTTATAAATTAAAATATTAACCTTGGATTGTTTGCAATGTCATCCACCATCATCGTAATTATATTTTCTTTCGGTATGCCGTTTTCTCGAATTATTTGGTATGCATGACATATGTCCGCCTAAGACAGTAGATAATACATAATTGAATGTAGGTATTCTACAATCTGCATAAACGTAATAAATTGGCTTTTTCATGGTTAAATGCATATATTCGATTTCTTAGTCAAATTATATCTATGAACTATTAAAGGTACTAATTAAAATATGTTCTAAAATTAAAATCATATTATATATTTTGCCCATGTGTCACTATCACCTACTACCTATGATAGTACAAGACAAAAAAAAAACTGACACGTTGCTTTTCTGTCGATATAAGAATATAGGAATATAGGAATACAGGAGTCGATTGTTATCGTCAATCCTTATATTGAGTACCTACGACACAGTAATGGGTGTGTTCAAATTCGATTCAATGAAAATCACACTGTATATTTAAAACGATTTTGAGCTGAGAAGACAATCATTGTAATATATTTTCAAACTTGGGGGGGGGCATACGACCCTCTCGGACCTCCCGGCGTGGCGTATAAAATACAAAATATCATGTTTTATTAACTACAAAATAATTAGCTCAAAAAATAACGTCAGACCAAAAACACACATATCTTTGTTAGGTAACTAATAAATTTATCAATCCGTTTATAGAATGTAAAATAGATGACTATAATATAGGTAATTCATATTAGGTATATTAAATTATGATTCTATCAGTCAACGATAACTATTTACTCTTCATTGTATGACCTGATGTCTGTAATTGTTCCATCCATCCGAACCGGCTACCAAAACCACCCATTTCTTCCCTCCGAAAAAACTATTTACTGTCTCCGAATCGATCCATGGTTTCCTGTATGGCACATGTAGAGCAGCTGATCCGATTGCAAATAATGTTAGTGATACAAAACTAAAAACTCCTGTAATAACACAAACGGTACACAAATATATTATGATTAATAGCATTTGAATTGCATGTCATGTCTTATTAGCATGTCATCAGATTGGATCCTAACTCTTAAAATGTCCTGTCCAAGTTGCATGACTCGTAGATAAAAATATCTATAGGTAAAATAGGTACATATCATAGATTTATGTATTTATTTATTTATAATTCTTGAAATGTTAACCAAATATTTATACTAGCTTTCCATTTATGGTAAAATTTTTAAACTATCTTGACTATTTTTGAACCATTTATAGCCATGTCATTTTTTTCAATTTTTTTTCAAATTTTGTAAAGTATTTTTCAGTTAGAAATTCATAAAAGTTTTTCTTCTCATAGCTAACTTTAGACATTTTAATAAAAAGTTCCCAATAAGTTTTCTAACTCTATCAAAAAGAAAGTTCACTGGAAAGTTACGATAATTATAGCCATGAGATATTTTCGATTTTTATTAATTTTTTTAACTATTAAATTTGTATCTATGCTTAACTGACACAAAGTCTCCGTAATTTTTCGTATACAATGATTTATTATTGAGTCTAAATGTAACACATCCATTACAATTTACAAAGACATGTTCGACAACTACTGTAGGTACCCACTTTTCCACTTTTCCTTAAATTGAATTAAAAAATGTATGATTAAATTAAATTTCTAATTTATTATATTAGACAAAGTCAGGGCCGAAATTGGGGGGGGGGTTGTTCTGGATACAACTGCCTCGGGCGCCAGTATTTTAGTTTCGCCAAAATTTTGTGGTCAGAAATTTGTTTACTTGTGAATTATTAAAATTTTAATTATTTTAATAACAGTAATATATATTATATATAATATAATTTAGTGTAATAGTATTATGTATATAGTATTATGCTGTTTGAATTTTTTTTTAATTAATATTAATTTGCATAATTTTATATAAGTAATTTTATGTTATTTATTCATGAAGTACATACTTAAATATGTAAAAAAAAAAACTTATATGATGAATTATACGCAAGGTTTAAGTGGCATAAATTCAAATGTATCTTTGCGACTTTGCGGGGAGAGGATCAAGCAATTACTAAACAATATTTTTAAAAAAAGCACACATTGTTAAACAAATATTCTTTTCTGTTCTCCATATTTTCCGTGGGTAGGCCCCTTAGAGAGGAGCAGTTTTTTTTTATGCTCGGAATACTGGTACGGTCAATACCATTTATACCATAAGTACCATACCACATAGGTTTTGTCAAAATATTTTAGTAACGGTAACAATTCTACAGGTGTCGTTGTATATAAATAAACCATTCCATCTATATTCTATTACTTCACTAAAGGGTAAAAACGCTAAAGCGTTAATCATACCGTAACTTATTCTAAAATCTATGTTATTTCTGTATAATGAACATATACCTAATTGTTGAGCTTTTCGCCACGTAGATTGGCATAAATGTCCATATTAGGTATAATTTTTATTGAAGTAATAACACACTCAATCCACTATTGCGAATGATATTGTACTGATGAGAACTTTCTGTATATTATAGTTCATGACATTTATTGATTAATAGATTATTAATTATAGTATTTATGGTTATCGCATTATTTTCAATCGCAGTCACTCGTGAGGGCAGTACATGTTTTCGCCCAAAATCGACCTTTTGGTTTTTGCCCAAATGACCTTTTTTACCCAAACACAAAAAAGAGTGATTTGGTTTTCGCCCAAAGAAATATTATTTATAGTAAACGAAAAAACATTTTGGTTAACACTGTATTTTTTTTTATTGAAAATGTGTCTAAATGACTATACGTATACCTACATAATATTTAATAAACATAAGCGTATAGGTGTAAAACATCTTAAAAAATAACATAATAATAAAAATAAAATTTTAAAGATTTTAAATGATATTTATAATTGCCCCTCGTGAGTCGTGTTTTCCCATCGATCGTCGGTAAAATATTAAAAATAATCGTTGATATTTTTCATAAAAGTTTGAGAAACCTTTACTATTGTGAACCGTGCCAGTATTCTGAGTTTATACAGACCGTACCAGTTTTCCGTTTACCGTTTTTTTTCACCGTTGCTTAGGGGGTGTCAATTTTTTTTTTGCACTGGGGCGAAAAATGTCTAAATGTGGCACTGGACAAAGTTAAATTAAAATTGCCCTTAACAACTTAGTTTGACTAGCAACTTGACATTTTAGATTCTAAGCGGAGCCATGAATGTTTTTTTTTTTACAATGATGTGTTATTTTTTTATATATATCTTAGGTAAAAACTAGTGTAAATATTATAGTATACTATACTATTTCTTCAATTATAATATTTTATATGTAATGAAATTCTTAAAATATTTAGGCTTATAGTTTTAAGTTATTTATAAGCATTTGAAATATTCAAATTTTTAGTTTTTTTTTTCTATGCCTACTTAAAAGCTTATAAAAATTGTTTTGGTCAAAAAGTTTTAAATTATAATACAAGGATTCTCCTAAGTTATTCTTACAATATAAACATTAAAATTTCAAAATAGGTACATATTATTATAATTAGTTTTTTTAATTTAAATTTCAAGTTAAAATGTTGACCAAATTGGATATTTGAACGAATAAGTATTAACTACTGTATGTTATTTTACTGTACCTAATTTAAAAAAAATTTATTCGTAGGGACTTGAAACTTTTTACCATAACCTACATATAGTATTATTTATTACATATAATGACATTTTCTAAATATTTATAGGTATTCATTTTAAGATATAAATTGACTCAGTGGCGTCCGCAGGGGGGGGGGGCTAACGGGCTAAAGCCCCCCCCATTGCCCGTATTATTATTGCTTTTTTAAAAAAATATGAATCAAGTTTAAACTGTCAACTATAGTAAGCAAGACGTAACTTTCATACATGTCTTACCAGAATGAATTCATTTTTGAAAAAACATTGTATTTGCATACCAATTTTCATAAATTATCTGTAATTTTTCGGTAAAAGAATGAACTACTTGTATGAAAGACCTTGTATTAAATTGTCTAGCCTCAGCTATACATATTTTACATTTTATAAGTTTTGAACTACAAATTAACTGTGGTTAAATTGTTTTGAACTTTAAATGCATATGTAAAAAAGTGGATGTCGCTCTGCTGTACAGCAGGTTACTAGTGGGTCACTGTATAATTGATGCTATTAAATTTGAATTCAATGATACAATATCATTGTATAAGAAAAACGATTCTGAGCGAAGACGGTATGTCAGTCTAGGTTTAAGAAAAATTGTATACATATCTATGGTATTAAAAAAAAAATTGACCTATAATAAATTCCAAATTAATCATATCACATTATCACAATATCCATTAGGTACTTATAACACGTTATACACCAACAACAAACCCTGATACTATCATATATATATATATATGTACACTTTAGAAGTTTCAAGTAGGTAGTAGGTACCAACGAATAATATTATATAATCACAACAAAATAACTAGGTTTTTTAATATGTAATTTCGTCCAAATTTGAACATAAAATGACTATAAAAATAAACTGTGATTGTATATTTTTTAGATTTTTCGGTAAGAGAATTAACTACTTACGTGGAATCTTGTTTTAAATTTTCAATCCTTAGCTATAAAAACTGAACATTTTATAATTTATTAATTACGATGATTAATAAATTTCGAGATTTTGAAAAATTCTGTCAAAATTCGATGTTTAAATGCTTATAAAAAAAAATTGTGCCTATGTATTTTTAATATTTTTCAACTGATATTGTAACAATATATCAGGAGCCTTGTATTAAATTTTTACACTTTTTGGCCCAACAGATAAAACTTAATTGATGTTTATAGAAAAAAAAAACTAAAAAAATTGAAAACTGAAAATGTCCGTAAACGCCTCAAAAAGTGTCAAAATATTTTCAAAATTGTAGGGTGTATAGGAAATGCTAATATAAACATTCAGTGAAATTTTCATGTATCTACAGTAATTCGTTTTTTAATTACAACAAAAAAAGGAAATTGCCATATGAGAAATCGAGTGAATATCCAATGTTGTAAAAATTTGAATTTCAAACGCTCATAAAAATTTAATTTGACTTTCCGGTAGAAATTTTTTATTGATAAAGGTAGACAATCTTATGAGTAATCTTGTATTAGATTTTCAAATCTTAGATTTAAAAAGAAAAATTTTTACGAATTCTTAACTCAAAATAATTTGCTAATTTTCGTGATTTTTCCATATTTTGTCAATTTTTGAACTTTAAATGCTTATAAAAAAAAATTGTGACTAAGGATTTTTAATATTTTTCATCTGCCTTTGAAACAACATATTAGGAGCCTTCTATTAAATTTTCAAGCTTTCGCAACCAACAAATTAAATTTTATTGATATTTTTAGAAAAAAAACTAAAAAAAAATGGAAAATGAAAATGTCCCTAAACAGTTCAAAATAAATCAAAATATTTTGAAAATGTTATCGTGTATAGAAAATGCAAATATAAACAACCAGTGAAAATTTCATGTATATACGTTCATTTGTTTTAGAGTTACACCAATAACCAAAATCGATTTTTTGGAAAATCAATTTTGCGTAAAAATTCCCGTTTTTCCTTAATTTATATGTTGTTTTTCCCGGCGCTTGTGAAAACTACTGGGAAATTTAAATTTTGACCTCCCCAATGCACCAACGATATTCACTTTCCAATCGAACAAGATACTGAAGTCGAAAATCGAAGCATTATTTCGACTACTTATCGTGTACACAGACACAAAAAAAATAAAAAATAAAAAAATAAATATAAAAACACACATCATTGTAAAATCAATACATTCATCGTTTCACTCAGAATCTAAAAAACTTGCGTATTACATTTTTAAGCTTTTCGACCGGATAAATAATTTTTTATTGACATTTATAAAAAAAAAATTTAATTAGTCAGTAGGTAGAGAAAGAGAGTTCAAACAGCTCATTCTGCTGGCTCATCCCTATACCCGTATGCTCATGGCACTATACCGTCTGCTCATGGCACTATACCCGTCT